ATTAAAAATAAACTCTAATACACCACCTTTAATAATTTTCTTCGTTTCCTACATAAAAATTCAGCCTATCAGAGCTTGATCTTTTTTTTTTTTTTTACGGGATTAGCCCACCAGGCACAGGTCAGTGACCCACACCAGGGCCTGGGGGCGAAATTATTAAGTAACACTCACTTAAAACATTAACGCCCGGAGTTTTAAACACCTTCTTCCGTTGAAGAGGGTTGTCGTGTTTCAACCCGAGTTTTAAAAAATAATGAGTCCCGAAAGACACCGCAGTACAATACTTGATGGGATGGTGTGGCGGTAAAATTAACTAATTCCAATAAAATTATTTTATAATATTGGAATTAGTTAATTTTACCGCCACATCACCCCGTCCATTACTGTACTACGGTATCCTTCGGGACTCATTTTTTTTTTAACTCGGATTGAAACACGACGACCCTCTTCAACGGAAGAGGGTGTTTAAGACTCAGGGCGTGAGACTAATCAGAGTGTTGTAAGATTGCCAAGTTTTTAGAGTAAATTAGTCATGTTTTAGAGAAAACACTGTATGTTCCCCCTAAAGCCTTGCGTGTCTGGGAGGGCTGACCAATGACAGTGAGTGGTTTAGCCCTGAAACAAGAGACTATCAGACGTGACGTCATGAGCACGTGAAGTTTCTTAGAGTCCTTCTTTGTTTTAGATCAGTCTTTGTTGGGATTTTGTATAGAGCGGTGTGGGGCATCTGTGGGTGGAGACGTGGCAGGTATTTGGCTGTATTCTATTTAATAAATCCTTACGTTCCATTTGTTGTGAGATACATGACCCAAATGTTTCCTTTAACTAAATTTTAAAGTGTCTGAATCTCAACTTATAGTGAAGGGAAGCAACATACCTGTATATTAAGTCACATTATATCATCAATTAGTGGACGACCTAAACACGTCTTCCTCACACGTTGTCCAGATGGTTCAACCTACAAACACATTTCGTTTAAAATATTCCTCTAACTCTTCGTCAGCTAACAACCTAAACACAGCTCACCGCTACTTCATTATGTTAAATTACAGCTCCACCATAAATGTAAGTATAACGATACAACCATGTAAAGAAATTGTAATGGTAAGTTGAAAGAAAATATTTTAAAACAAGCGATTTTTTCACAAGTAATTTAGTGATTTAAAAGAAAAGATGAAAATATAATATGTTTCGTTGATTACCAGAAGGTATCAGATACAACTCCCTTATATATTAGATAGACTATGTTAAGAGAACTAATACCAGACCTGACGCCTTTTAAATACACCTGCCAATGTTAAATTAACCCCTGTGTCGATTCTCCAAATTTCCCTCACTAAATACACTACATATTTTTCTCTCTCTGGAATGTTCAACAATAGATGGGGTGAATTTTTTTAAATAACCTGGTTGTCTGAATTCGACGACGCCATTAATTGCAGCGAGAGAACGAATATATATATACATATATATATATATATATATATATATATATATATATATATATATATATATATATATATATATATATATATATATATATATATATATATATATATATATAAGGTATATTTTTAACTCCGCTTAATTTGGAAAACGGATTACTGAGGACACGAGAGAGTAAGTGCATGACAGAACAGAGGATTAGATTAGGCTAGGTTAGGTTAGGTTAGGTTGATTTTGGTTAAGTTAGGATAGGTTATGCAAACATATTCTAGCTCACCCTGTACAATGATCTATACGTCAGTAAACAGTAATCAGTATTATTGTTAGTAGCAAAAATAACGTATTATTACTATTATTATTTGTAGAAGCAGTAGTAGTAGTACAACTACTAACAGTACTATTAGTAGTAGAAATTCTAGTAATAGTAGTAGTAATAACAGTCATAATGAGAATATATTTACAGTTTCTGTCACGAGGAATATTCACCGTATACAAACATCTATACCCCGCCAGGGAATACTTGCGGCATCACTATAGTAGAAACCAACTATGGGCTCTCCCGTAGAAGTATGTAAATATTCCTGAGCCCGAGAACCAATATCACCACACCAGATTGGCTCCTACAGTATGAAGTCACTGATGTCCGCAAGTCACCTAGTCACCACGACGTTGTTATTGAGTCTTAATTAGATTAGATTGACGTTGAGTTTAGCGTAGTTTAGCATAGGCAGTGGAGAGAGAGAGAGAGAGAGAGAGAGAGAGAGAGAGAGAGAGAGAGAGAGAGAGAGAGAGAGAGAGAGAGAGAGATCTACCAGCCAAAGAGCCAACCAACCTTTTACTTCTGGGACGCTTACAATCTCGCTGTATGCAGACTCGTACTACGGCCCATGATATCCCCATAGAACATACCACGATTACGTCAAAACATGCCACGATCACGCCAGGACACGCCATTATCTCGCCAGAACACACCTCAATCACGCCTGGACATGCTATTATCTCGCCAGGATACTTGATGATCCTGCCATAACACGCCACGACCTTGTTGCGACACGCTACATAACGTCCACTCTAGCCAGTAGGTCCTCCTTCAGTAGCCTGTACCTCCCCGACACAACACTGTTCAGCTTCCTGCCAAAGGTAAAAACAAGTCAGAGTTACCACCGAGCCTTAAGCTCCCTCAATAGCAATCCAATATGCTTGAAGTGGAAGGGTGAGACGAGGAACTCTGAGACCTAAGTTTACAACACAAAGGAAAACCGAAGAGGAGATACAGAGTTAAGCTGATTACGATGCCACAAACTTGGTACGAGTGGCCGTGTGTGTGTGTTGTGTGTGTGTGTGTGTGTGTGTGTGTGTGTGTGTGTCCATACGTGTGTGTGGTGTGTGTGTGTGTGTGTGTCCATACGTACGTGCGCGCGTGTGTGTGTGTGTGTGTGTAACAGAACCTTTGCTTTATATAAATATTCACCCAAATGAATAACACCAAGTTATTCACCAAGTGATTCACAATGTACTCTCGACTCAGATCACTTGGCTTGCATCTCTCAGGGTCGAGCCAGGGGTCAGCTGATTCAGTAAACACCACTCGCTCGCTACCACTCTCTCACACCTCACAGAGGGGCAGTTCACTCCATGCCACTTGACAGGGAAGTTCACACTTAACAGAAGTGTTATCTCAAAGTGTTATTCACAACACTTCCCTGGAGAAAATTCATAATTTATTCTCTCAGACCATATCTGTGTCTATAACTGCTACTCAATACACAGAAAAACACCAAGAAGTGTTTACATCAATCCCTGCCACTTAAGAGTTCCAGAACTAATTAAAACACTTGATGGGATACCAAAACAGTTATCACATGTGTGTGTGTGTGTGTGTGTGTGTGTGTGTGTGTGTGTGTGTGTGTGTGTGTGCGTGCGTGTGTGTGCGTGCGTCACCAAGAGGCAGCAAGAGTCTTTAGTAATGATAATATAACAAGTTAAACCTTGATTATAATAAAAAAAAATATAACAGGTAGCAGTAGTTGGCAACCTCTATCTCGGAATGACAGGCTCCTGGAACTAAACTATTCCAGACGAATGCTTGCCTGTCTTCTGCTTACTGTGGCGTTCTTCATGATGGGAACCTTTTTCACAAGTAGTAAGAGTTAGTGTAGGTCATGATTTTCAAAGCTCGTGGATGAACATTTTGTCTTTAACCCCTTGAGTACAATGGTGGCAACCCTTTGAGTACGATGGCGTTAACCCAGTGAGTACGATGACTTTAACCCCTTAAGTAAGATTACAACCTTTAAATATGTTGACACTGGTTCTAACCCTTTGTATGGTCCGAGTACTCAAGGGGCTAACGCCATGGTACTGAAGGGGTTGCTGCCATTGTAATCAAGGAGTTAAATAGGGATAAAGAGGAACGCATCTTGATTTGCTCTTAAAGTAAGTTTTATGTTTATCTTTTGTTCACGTTAGACACTGAAGAGTCATTATCAAATCTCCAGTTGAGGGAAAAATTTAACTTAGGGATCAGTGAGACTCCGTATAGCGGCAGGTGTGGTGGTGCAGGCGGGCGGCAACAACAATAGGTGGTCATACATATAACTCGCCTTCATTGTTCACTATCAACACCGTAACTCTAGCTTACAGGCGCCACACTGCCACCAACATTCCTCTGTATTTCATGACAATAAACCTCTCCTGTGTTCCCCGTCCACCGTCAAGCCAATGTCCTCACTCCCCTGCTTGTGGTTCTGGCCTGGTAACTGCATCAAGAAATCAGACTAACACTTAACTATGATACATACGAAGTAGTCAATATGGTAGGGAACTTACTACCACACACACCCTTGGCTGGACCTGTTCTAATAACCCCAGTAAGAGAGACAGTAACGTTGGCAGCTAAGTGTATTACAGCCAAGTTAGTGTTTACAAGCGTGTTGGATGGGTCATAATTTGTGTACAACTGACAAGTAATCAATAAGTTTATCTACATATGTAAAGAATTATAAACTTTTATCCTGACTACACTGACTTACTAAGCGCTAGCATAAAGTATCATATCCTTAAACAACAAAATTCAAATACAAAATATATAGTGAAGTGCTACGTAAGAGATTGGTGTTTGTAATTATCACTTCCCTCACAACACTCATCGCAGCAAATCCCCAGATACTCGTATATTTAAAGATGTTTGTGGATGTAACTTCCCTCAAATACAATACAGTGAAACAAATATGTGTATAATACTTATCTATATCAGCGTAAATTGCAGAATACAGTTCTAGGCCTGTGTAAATTTGTAAGATGTTTTCAAGATCTATTGTGATATATGTATCACTGTCACGTCGCAATAATGTCTGAAGGTCGTGTGGTGGCAATGGTGTGGTTGGTGGTGTGGTTGGTGGTGGTGGTGGTGTGTTTGGTGGTGGTGGTGGTGTTGGTGGAGTGTTCGGTAGTGGTAAAGGAGTGGGTGGTAGCAAAGGAGTAAGGGTGGTGGTAGCGGAATGAGTGGTCCATGGTGGTAAAGGAATGGTCGGTAGCGATGTGTGGCAACTCAATAGTAAGGAGCCGAGGAGTGAGACCAAGATATGAGATGTCTGTCACGTGTTCAGTCAGTTGATGTTTGTTATGTGATCCCGGGAGGAGCCGTACATCACCACCGCCTTCCACCTCCCCTCTTGGTGGCGGACAACCTGTGACTCGTCTACATCAATATTACTGATACTATTAAAATCGTGTAATGGATTGTAAAGAAACAGGTTAGTCATTAATTGTAACTGTTATGCGAATTACGAAATGACACCAATTTCTTTTTAACTCTTCTTGGTTCACCTGGATATTCGCCACCCAACTTAATCCACCTGCATATTAACCAATCAAATGTTAAGTAACGTAGCATAACATAACCTAACCTAACCCCCCAGGTAGAGTTAGGATGGTTAATCTTCTCGTGAAGTAAATTGGATGGGGCTAATTTTAAGGCTAAGTATTTCTCTTTTTGCGAAAATTCAAAGTGTTCAGTATACAGAGACGATCATGTAATAATAATACAAGCCTAGCCTAACCTAACCTAACCTAACCTAACCTAACCTAACCTAACCTAACCTAATATAACTTAACTTTACGGTATATACTGTATAGTTTGGTTATGTTATGATAGTGGACAACGTCTTTAGCCAAAAAGTCATTTGTTCTCAGGTTTAACTGGGCGATTATCCTTATTTATCCTGGCATAAATTTCGTTCGTATCTATGCAAGATATTTTACTTCTCATCGAGGCCTATTACTAGTCTTTCATTTTATTTCAATACTCTTACGACATCGAAAGCAAATTGAATGCAAGAAAAAGCGTCAAATACATCCAGTTACCTACCAAGAGAGTTGCATCTCTCATAACGTTTAATAGCTGATGGAATAGTGAGCACATTCCACATATGCAAAACAGTGTTTGTTATGTATTCACTGCCTGAAGCAGACGGCGCTTTCTTATCACACATGATAATGCACCAGACGACGTACAGTACAGTTTACCCGGCGGATGGCGCTAATCAGTAGGTTCTCGTAAGATAGCAGACGACGCTAACTTAGCAGTCAATGATATATGTAGCGTATAACGGTAATAATTTTATGTTGACTTGAAATATTTTTGAAGGGATCAACTTGAACCATTCAAAGGTAACATAATCAGGCATTCGAGTTAGTTATCGTGTGATTTGCAATGTTCGTTAAGTTACCTTGCAACACACCAAAATTAATGGCCACATAGTATTATCGCTTCCTGTTCCAAGTCTGAGTACTGCTTAAACTTGATCGAAAAACATTATTTTAACGACTACTGCATCCAGTGAAAGTGTCATGGCCGCCGTCAAAGAAACTGTACCTTAAAGAGATACGATGTAGGTCGAGGAAAGGACGTCATGTAAAATCGAAGATGCACTCTTTATCAACAATAATAATGGTTGTCCCTCGAGATAGAGGATGGCCTGTCCTAGGGCCACCTAGGCGTGAATTTGTTTAAGGTGTAGAATCTGTCGCCAATACAACAACCACACCCTGAGTTAACGAGTTGCATGACAGTGTCAAGGAATAGTCCGAAAAGACCGGACAACTCGCCAACTGCACTGGCTAACCACTACCCCGAACACGATCCGCAAATCGATTAACATCGAGGTTCCCAATTACTGTATGGTAGACAGAGGCAAATGGCGTAAAGAAACCTGCCCACAGTTTCACCCCGCCCGGGGATCGAACAAGGGTCCACTCGCTCGCGAGGCGACCATGCTGACCATTACACCACAGCACACACACACACACACACACACACACACACACACACACACACACACACACACACACACACACACACCTACGGAAATTATAAGATTTTTTTTTACAATAACTTTTACAACCTAAAGGACTGGCAAACTTCTCCCGTCTCTGTCTCGAGTTTGAGAAAAGATAACAGTATTGACAGAAAGTACAACCAAGATTATCAAATTCGTTATTATAGTTTCCAGAGAGTATTGATTCACAAATGGAGGACTCCGTGACATGTTCCAGTGAAGGAAGAAGCTATATGAGTGTTAGTCAAGACAAAGGCGTGGCTGAGAAACATCTTGCAGGACAGCATAGGATCTGGGGTATACCTGGCCGTGATGATAGTCAGTCTTTAGGCAATATAAATGAGGGTATTATTTACGATACAGTAATTAAGTAGGAAGTCAAGACCATTGATATATTAAATAACAATAGTAAGTACAAGAACATGATGCGTGTGAAAGACAGACAGCCAACCAGCCAAGTGTATAATGGACTGTACGAAGCCAGAATACTTCCTAAATGATCTTAATTGTTGAAATATACGTTAATACATTAGATTAGAACATCAACATAACCTCAATAAGTGCATGTCTGAAACTGTAATTTGGTCAAGAACAGATACAGGTGATGACAGTATACTAAGTAGGAACGAAGTTTGCCAAGATCCTGATTCCAAATAAGTACATCGAAGGCTTTTGAAGTATTTAGGTTAAAGAAGAAAAGATTCAACCAAGAAACCGAGAAGGCAAAGTTAAGTGCTGTGGTGGGCATGAAAGATGATCTGAGGTAAAAACAGTCCTGAAGAATTTGTTTTTTCCCCAAAGATGATTGACTTGTTTCATACACAACCGATTTGTACACGTAGTTGTTTCACACACGGTTTCATAAATCGTTTCGTACACATGCTCAGGTTAATTGAAATGTGCATGGTGATAATAAAGGTGTAGCTGAACATTAATTAGGGAACACATGACACTGCCAGACTTTCCACAAAAAACACCACTGACTTTTATGTGTAAATCGAGATAGCATATCCAGGGTGGGGGGTGGGTGGGTGCAACAGGGGAGGAGCAACTGTACATGAAAACAGTGTATAAAATTTAATATATTATATAATAGAACATCATAGTTTAGCCTCAAACTTCCTGATAATAATTTCTTCTCCTTATGCTCGCGTGGTCCAAACCCCTGTGACCGCTTCTTTCTGTAGCCATATTCATAATCCCGCTCATTGCATTACGATATTCCTTCTGTAACCTGTAATGTCTAGAGCAAATATTATTGTCTGTCTGTCTGTTTGTCTGTCTAGTGAACCCAATTTTAAACGAAGAAAAACAGAAACCTCAAGAAAAGAAAAAAACATAATTCATATAATTATCTCCGTTTGTGTACACGATATATAGAGTGACTCCTCAATAACCACCTTGATTACAGCGCTTCATATATATTTATTGAGTCGTCTATAGATTTTATGTTGCTCTTAGGTGCACTGTTGTCATCCCACATAGACGGTTAGGTTACGATTGGATTAGTTGGATTAAATCGTCAATTGGTGTGTTTGGGAATCATATACGTGGCGGCATATAATCTGTCCTCTATCGTTATTTTCCTCCACTGGTAGATAACCAACTTATGATAACGAGATACATTGACTCCTGATGATCTGATACAGTCTTATCTGATATCGCTGGATCTGTCGATGACCCACCCCCTCCCATAGCTGTATAAATAACAACAATATTAACTGGAATGCTCGGCGACATAATTATGACATAAGCTGTTGCGTCGTCAGGGAAGTAATTACCCAAATCAATCAATCAATTAGAATGCCATCATGGAAATGGGAGTATTATTTTTTTCACACATTAATTCTTGTGCACTTTTTGTTAAAATATAATTTTTATTAATGCCTTCTGAGTGTTTCATTATCAGTGCGTTATGAAGGACAAGAAGTGCCTTTTTCTCTCTCTCTGATCAACTCACGCAGCGATCATTGGCGATTAAGTTGGTGCTCAAGGAATGAGAGTCATCAAAAGAGTGAATCTCTGTCACTGTCGTAGAGTTGCAGGAAAAAATAAATCCCGGGTGGGAACTATTTTCACCTTCCAGTACTTATGGCTCGTATGTGCGTCACATTCAGCCCAATACGAAGAGAGTTTAAAGTAGTTCAAAACGAAGGACAGTAAGTGGCATTAGTAGAGTTGTTATTTACGAGCCAGTGTTTGAAAACAGTCTCTTTAGTTCTTTTTATGAGCCGCGTCCTCACAGTCTGGTCTATCCTGTATTTTATTCACCCGTTAATTACTATATAAACTCCTCTATTATTAAAAAATATCAAACACAGTAGTTACGAGAAACTGGTGTAGCCATTTAGGTTATTTTGAGTATTACATCTCTTGCATGGCTTATTGTCAGCACCAAAGCCTCGTACTGTCCCCAACCATTTCAGTACACAATAGGATTATTATATCACTTAATATTCTTTCAATTACTTTTCTTTCAGCATCACCACCACAGCGAACTAGCTCATGCGAGGACCCAAACGATGAAGAATCCGCAATGCCGATGGTGGCAGTAACAGCCACTGGCGAGGACCCCAACCTGCCCTCTGCTAAGGATGGAAGGTGATATATTTTGTCATCCACTGGGGGCTGGTGAAGAGGGGGAAAGAGCCATGTAGTCAGATACATCGTGAGGTAAATAAACAGTATCTTTTAGGTGTGTCATGTAGTGTCTTTGTTGAGTCGTGTACACCGTCTAGATACTTACAGTATACTGAGCCTTCTGTAATGCTGTCAAATTCCCCATCCTGAATATCTCCTTTATAAAAAAAAAGAGTGAATAGCATTTAATGAAAGAAAGATAATAATAATAATAATAATAATAATAATAATAATAATAATAATAATAATAAAAATAATAATATTAATAATAATAATAATAATAATAATAATAATAATAATAATAATAATAATAATAATAATAATAAACAGTTTATTGAAAAAGTTCAGCAGTACAGAAGGCTTAAAATATACACTGGACGTAAATGAGTTATTACATGCATTCACATTGGGGGTTTAAAAAAGCTTTCGTTATTGAAAGGAAAAGGAACATACATTGATTAATTATTTACAGTGGAGGTCACGTGGGTCACGTGTGATAAGGTGTTGAACAGTAAACACGTAGTGTACTAACTCCCTCACAGATGGTGTTATGAGGGACTTCACGTGTGTGTGTGTGTGTGTGTGTGTGTGTGTGTGTGTGTGTGTGTGTGTGTGTGTGTGTGTGTGTGTGTGTGTGTGTGTGTGTGTGTCCTGATAAACGTCCTGCTTTAACTGACTGGCAGAACAACCCTCAGTCTTGAGCCAAAGCTGATACCTTCCACAAGAAGAAAGCGGCGGCCCAGTGGGAAATTCGCTATCTAAAGAACGACTGGCTTAAAAATAAAGCATATGAAACACAAAATTTTGCGGATCAACACAAGATGCGCGAATTTTTCAATTCCACTAAAACATTTTATGGGCCAATCATTAGTGGCGCAGTCCCCCTCCACTCACCCGACGGTAACTCCATAATTAAAGACGATGAAGGCCTCCACAGGGCTGTAAAGAGCACGACCATTCACTGCTCAACCGAAACACCTATGTGAATGTCCCGACTCCGAGGCCTCTGACTACCCAGTAGGTTCCCCGAGCGCACCCAACCTATGCAGCGATCAGATGTGCTGCGCGTCGCTCCCGGCTCATGTTCAAATTTTTTGACCGTTACAACTGTCAGCCTTGTTTTTAAGTTGGGCTCGCTCTGGCGGCTTTATCTTGTAGTTGTACATGGATAATATTATTCTTGTACACTGCGCTTCTTCCCTATCCTATCCTTTCGCCTCGAGTCCCTACTGTTTGGTAACGACGCAAACCCTGCTGAGTTGAAACAGTAAGGGTGGCAACATTTTCTGTTAGGGATTCGGCAGTGCTTCATAACCTGTCACTGTTAGGTGTTTGGGCTTGGCTAAGCCCCCGTCAGGAGATTGTCTGTTCACCCTACCCCTAGACCCGTTTTTACTCGCCCAGCAAGTGGACAGAAGGAGCAGCACCCATGGGGTTCAGCTGGGGTGGACAGATTAGGTAGGATTTTCATGTATGTAACTGACCATGGCCAAAATGAGAGTGAAAATCACCGGAACACCGACCCAGGGGTCTCGGATAGGGCTAAAAAAGGCTATTAAGCGACCTCAGGGTGAGAATAAATAAACTTGTGAATCTGAGAGATAGTTACATCATCCTCACAGAAACAGATGAAGATGCTGATAAACTACTTAAGTCTAGTGCCATGGACAAACTGAAAACTGACGGATACGAGGTCATTGTCCCACGGGAATACGGCGCCAAGCTCACCCTTGTATGGAAGAAGTTAGACAAAGATGTAGTGGAAAATATTGCAGAAGAAACAAGAGATGAAATAGAAAAGCAAAACAATGTCATGATTGTGGAGATGTACCCTATGTATGCCCGTAATATAATTAAGGTTCGCTTTGCAGACACAACGGATGCAAAAAGAATGAAGGAGAAGGGGCTCTATGCATATGACACTGCCAGCTCATCACACCAAATAGAATATGAAAAGTATACGCCCATCCAAGGGGTCATATGCTCTGAGTGTTCTTCTGATCAACACTTCTACAAAGACTGCTGAAGCACCATCAAAAAGTGTGTCGTCTGCGAGGGTGGCCACAGGGCCTCCTCTGCCACCTGCCTGGTCAGAAAACAGGTACTTCAAGACACAGAGAAGAAATTACCGAAATAACCAAACAAAAAGAAACTAGGGAAATTTCTAACACCATAAAAAAGACCACTCAGTCGACGATCATGGCTTACAGCCAAATCCTAAAAGACGCTCTGAAAGAAACTCAAGCAGACTCACAAAAACTCAACAATGTCAGCGAGACCATGGAAGTCCTGCAATCACAGATACGAACCATCAAGGACTCAATAAAACAGGCAGTTACTGAGTCCCTGGGCGCCACGAGGAACGCAGTGGCGGAGAGCATCAGGAGCGTCTCCTCTCCACTTGTCTTACCTGCATGCCCATCACATGATCATGGTTCATCCAGGTTCATTCTCGAAACACCTCAACAAGACAATAACCAGGAACATCATTGCACCTGTTGAAATAAGCGACGAAGTTACTTCAAAAGAAATCCTGAAGGCAGTAACCCATTCAACGACTTATCGACGACCTCAACCCACGCCAGAAATAGACCATAACCTCCCTGACTTTGGCAAAAGTCAGTATAACCGTAGCCCCGACGTGGCCAGTCAGTCCCCCTGGGATCACAGCTCCAACGACACCGTAAATCTCCATGACCCCAGACATGTACTCCCAGCGACGACAGTGACCATCGGACTGCAACCACAGTCAATGGTTGCGACTAGATGATAGCGACTTACTCCACAGAGGAACAAGACCCTCGAGCTGCAGCGTCAATAGATTACTTCGACACGCAGGCCCAGGACCTGAACACCTTCCTGTACACGGGTGACGAGAAGTTCGAGGGCCCGCCATTAACTGACAAGCAGATGTTCGAAGGTTCTACTAAGAAGTTCCGGCCCCCTAGAAATGGCAGAAGCCGAGCAAACACTTCAAGCGACGCCCCAAGCTACAGTCGTTAGCAGGATGAAAATTGTCCAACATAATGTCCTACACTGGTCCCTTAATAGACGTAACGAACTGTCTAACTTATACTATCAATTAGACCCAGACATTATTCTGTTAAACAGTACTGATATAATGGACGAAAGTAAGCTGAAAATTTTTGGCTACACTGTATACTAGAGAAACATGACGGGTGAGCTGAAAGATGGTGTAGCTGTGGCCATCAAGTCACGGCTGAGTCACAGAGTGTTGCCAGACTTCGAGGATTCAGTTCTAGGAGTACAGGTGGAGACATTTAGGGGACCTGTTATCATAAGCACAATGTACCTACCTCCCAGACGTCCTTACTTACCCGAACAAGACCTCAACCAGTTGCTACGCCACAGAAAACCAACATACATCATAGGTAATGAGAACAACGTCGGTGTGGCGCTGTATGACAACATCAGAAGGGGAAAATGCAACACCTCGGGCCATATTTCCCGACATTGATCAGACGTGCCAGTGCCACAACACCAGACATAATCCTCTCTAACAACGAGGCCGTCCTGAACAGGCACGTTACCGCCGGACCCATCAGTACCAGCGATCACCTGCCAGTCGTCGTGACGCTCTCATCCAATCCCATTATGATCCCCACTAACATCAGGTCAAACCTCAAATGGGTAGACTGACGACTCCTTCAAGGAATCTCTCAGTCTCAAACAGGGGAGGAACCTGGAAGAAGCCAGCCCCAATGACATCGACGACGCGGTCGAACAATGGTACACTGATGTGAAGACGGAGATAGACAACAACATCCCGACCACTACCCACAGGATCATTCCCCATCCTCACACTAGTCACCAGCTGAGGCAGCTCAGTGTCCAAGACGATCACGTGAGACAGCTAGCCAGTATCCGCGGATGGACGCAAGAGCTGAGAGACCGGTACAGAGAGCTACAGACGGACATCCAGCACGAGAGCAAACCAGACACTGTAGAGGTCATATATAAAATTTTAGAGCTTCTTACCATACAAGGAGGAGGGAGGGAGAAGGGGAGAGGGGGGGGGGGACGGGGAGGATGTAATTTACATATTCAGCCAGAAAGTATTTTAGTCGCATGCTGACATTTTACGCTCTCAATGTTTATCTCTGTGTCATGTTCGGTGGTGCAGATGGTAGTAGGAGTGGATTATATTATATAAAGATAATAATGTCATATTTCTTATTTCTTACCGTAGAGTCCGATACCTTCACACTGATTACTTACAGGAGATTATGGCGTATCTACGTAGAAGTTCACTCCACCACTCGACATTCCATGATTTATACTTGATAAATGATGATTTAGTGAATTCATTTAATTTCCAACATCTATCTAAGTTACTGGTTATACTTTGTCATAACCAATCAGTCATTACCTTTAGTAATAATAAGATAGGATCACAGATACGGGCAGATAATTGCACTTACATTTATTTGTCAAGCTTCCATACAATGATTTACAATTTGCATGGATATATGATTCACTCACGTTCACGCTGTAATAAAATTAATCTTCTAAAAGAGAATTTTAACTTGGGGACACATGTGATTACTCTACTATGGGTATAACTTAACAGAGCCTTAATTCTTCAAGTGATACATTTACTGCCAGCCTGGATTGCTTTTGTTGCAACCAGGCTTCCGCACAAGGACTTCTTTCCACGGGCCACAGCAACAAAAAGTACTCTTGGGTTACCACACATGGTGTCGGGCAGGAGAACTCTGTAAGCGTGACTTGAATTAACCATCTAGGTGCAATAGACCAGCCTGGATTGCTTTTGTCGCAACCAGGCTTCCACACGTGATATTTCCACGGGGATAACAACCTAGGTTAACACACTTAGTCTCGTGTCGACGACGGTTCACAGGACGGAGTGCGGTGGAGGATCCCTTTCAGGAGGGAGAGGTCAAGACGAACTAACCCATGGCTCAGGGGATACTACTTAAAATGAGGTTTTTGGGTGTGAAGCGATGAACAGTACAACACTGTTTCACTGCCCACCCCCCTAAAGGCTGGCTGACATACACTAATGAAAAATACATGTCCCAGTTATGCCTCGCCGGGCGTCTTATCTCTGGTAAAACAAACTTTGGAGTTGGTTGCGTGGGTAAGCCTAACGCAACCCATGACACTGGTGTGAAGCGATGAACAGTACAACACTGTTTCACTGCCCACCCCCCTAAAGGCTGGCTAACATACACTAATGGAAAATACATGTCCCAGTTATGCCTCGCCGGGCGTCTTATCTCTGGTAAAACAAACTTTGGAGTTGGTTGCGTGGGTAAGCCTAACGCAACCCATGACACTCTGGTTAAAATGTGTATAAATTAACTGTACAAGGCAGAGCGAGTCAGTGCAGAGAAATTACTTCCTGGTACAAAACTCAGCACACACAGTTGGTAGTTTACTATTAAAAGATAAGGATCTGTGTATCAAATAACAGCTTATCTCATTACGCTTGCAGTACAGTATTTTATAGTTGATTTCATGTATAGTAGATAGCATAAAGATATAATTTTTCTGTATGTATACAACAAAATACCGTGTGTGTTCCAATTTGCGCATGAAGAACGACGCTTTCCATAACAAAAATGTAAAAAAAAAAAATAAATAAATAAAACAAATGTTTAACGACAGAACAAACTTTGTTGGTTTATGTTTCGTGTGTAGATTACCGTAACAACAGCTTCCTAAAAAAAGTAAATACATAAAGTAATTTTTATTTGCATTTAATATGTTAATTCGAATACACTCATATATTTATTGACCTCCAAATCAATAATGAGGATTTTTAAACATATGTCCAGCTAATGTGGAATCCTCGCTGATTAGGAATGTTGACAATTTGCAAAGTTCCAAACATCACAAAGACTTCACATGGTTATCAACACACCGACAGCGCAGATCATATTTTTACCAGGTGGTCGATCTCTTGTCAAAGGGCCATACGCAAACAGGCTGCGGGCAGTGCTAACAGATGTAGTTGGTATCTGAAGTGTCAGTGAGATTGTGTGTATGTCAGGTCATTTAGGGTTAAGCATGGTCAGCACAGCTCGGGTCATATATAACAGTATTCATGCAAAGGTCAAGAGGTTACAAGGGCTCGTCAGTGAGGGAGGACTGCCTGGCCTCACCACCTGACGATCTCCAGTAAGGTAACGTAGTAGGTATTGTAGACTGTGCTTCTACTAAACTGTATTTAATTGTTTTGTTAATGAGAATCACCGGTATATGGATTATATTTCTAGACATAATTCAATATCAACTGTTCTAACGAATTCAAGGAAAATTAATTATATTTAACCTAATTAAACTAATTTGCTTGCTATTTATAGGTAGAGGTGTGTGTGTGTGTATTATTAATTGAGTGGCATAGTTAAATAGTTGTATATATTTTGTCTTAACTGATCCTGGGTTCACCACAAGGTACGGCTGGGTGGTGGTGGCAGCGACCTTCGTTATCAACATAATGGTGGCAGGATACGTCAAGAGTTTCGGCCTTCTCAGCCAGTCCATCCTGGAGCGCTTCCCCAACACCTCTGCAGCAACAGCCGGATGGATGATGGGACTCATGACGGGCTGCCGAGGAATCCTGGGTAAGAATTTCTTATCTCAGTCCGGGTCCCAAAATTCACAAGAATCTCCTTGTTATAAATTCGATAATGATACGTCGATGGTTAGATTTCAAGAGAAGGCGTGACCCACCAGTCCAAAAGGTTGTCGAAAATTTCTACTCATAGCAAAGTAAGCCATCTAAATTTGCCAACAGTTTACCTGTAAATTCAGTTTTCTCTGAAAGTTTTCCCCACAATTTATCCTCAATTTTTAGACGGATTTCCTAGCCAAGTCAAACGAGGGTCAGCGACAAATCCTAGAGTTTTCAGACCTAACTCAGTGCCCCCCCCCCCCACCCCACCCCATCAGGCCGGTATGTAGATGGGTTTTGCTAAAGTACACACGGTATATATACTAAAAGGCATTAAGCCATATTATTGTGTTAAAAGGCTCACTGATGAACCTTACTAAGTGTTCCATCAGCAGTACAGTATATCCGTACACCCTCGCATTATTAGGAGTATTAAAACTGATCCCACAGAACCCATACCAAAGCAGAGTCACCCCCCACCACCACCACCACAGGATGTCTTTTAGGATACAACTGCCATTAAGTATCCTTTAAAGGTGGCCATGGCATCTAAAGAAGCCGTTTCAGGATGGGGGTTGTGCTGCGGTAGTTTAGCTTTGGGTGTAGTCTTTAGAGGAAGTTATGGTGCGGGTGTCCTGGGTAACAATTCCTTTTTTGTTCATCAGCTCCGATGTTGGGACCGCTGATGGTGATGGTGGGCCCTCGGTTGTGTTCTGTGTGTGGCGGTCTGTTAGTCGCCCTGGGCCTCCTGCTAGCCCTGCCTGCCACCTCCGTCTTCCACCTGGCCGTCACTGTGGGTGGCCTCGTAGGTGCGCCTCCTGCGGCCAAGGCTCTTCACTGTTGGCCTCACACCGCTTCCTCCCTCCATATGTATCGTCATTTTGTATCCAAGGTGTTTTATGTTTGTTTTAAGAATACAACACCATATAGAAAGTTGTCTAACATATAACATTTTAACATAAGTATAGTTTTTTGTTTATATTATATACTGCACATATTTTGAATCACGGCCAGATTAGGCACCCAAGCTTCTGTCACCCAATGATTAAACACTCAAATGCTAACCTAAACTAACCTAACCTAACTGAACCTAACCTAACCTAACCATATCCCCAGGTGTCCCATATCGACAGTAATGTCAGTCAGTACTATGTATAGCTAGACTGACGGGCTCTTTCACAGAACTGATTATTGACGCAACAATGGCCGTGCAAGTAGTGATGCAAAAAAGTGTTATTATCTACAGTATATTGCATTAAATCATAGATTTATTTATATATAAAAATTAATAACGTTCCATACCTTCCCCGTAAATAACCAGGTACCACTTAAGACTACATAACATCACATAACATCACGCAACGCTTAATAACACCACAAAACATCACATAGCACCACAAACTATCACATTACACCACAGACCACCAGTCAGCAACGTGTATACTTTTATCTTCATTTACAAGGAACACTCAAAAGATTCAGACTCAGAAGCGGCATTAATGCACTATCAACTCAATGGCACTCCGGTAGATGCCCTAAAATTGGGCCAGATATTATTATGATGAGACTGTGTTCCGACATGTACAGATACAGTATGTGTCAGAGAGGGTCACTGTACAAAGGTGTCATCTAAGTGCTTGTCGTAGCTTGTCGTAGACGTATATATATTTTTTCATGGTTCCAGTTTTATCATGCGTCTTCTGCCTCTTAACTAAAAAAAATGGGAGGAGAAGAGGAAATGGAAATTAGTTGTATTGAAAATATATGCATTGGAAATTTATTGCACACGAAGAATAAAGAACTCGTATATTAATTGTGAGTGTGCAATTGCGTATGTGCTCTCAACACCCCGTGTTTGGGAGATATATCACCATTCCGTTACCAAATTATTTCCCTCTAAATGTTGACAGGTGTGTTTTTGCTGCATATTGACAGGTGTGGGTCTGGCCATGAGCGAGACGCCGGGTTTCATAGTCATTTCCCAATACTTCGAAAAGCGACGAGCTACAGCCAATGGATTACGATCTGCCGGAAACCCCTTCGGAGGTGTGGTGTTCCCCTTCATTGTCGTCTTCCTTTCCCGAGAATTCTCACTCTGGGGCATCCTTATGCTACTCTGCGGCATTATGCTGCAGATCTGTGTGATGGGAATGTTACTGAGGCCATTCTATGTTCACCAGAGGATAGTAGAGCGGGACTACTACAGGAGCTCCTCCCTCAACGCTCACGAGCACCAGTCCAGGGATTCCGGTCAGGTGAAGAAAATCATTGAGAAAAATAATTCGGCAAGCAAGAAAAAACCTCTAGAATTATCCTACCTGAAGAACCCAGTGTACCTGGTGTACTTAGTGATGATCATGTGTACTTGTGCGGGCCTTAGCAACGTGTTTTACTACCTTATACTCTTCAGTCTATCCATCGGCCTGAGTGAGACTGACGTCTCCTTCATTGTGGCCTTCCTCTCAGTCCTCGACATGTTCGCCAGGATGGTCATCGGTAGGATCGGTGACACCAAAATCATAAAGAAGAGACACATGTTTATACTGGGGTAAGCAGTCACATTTTTATACCGTTGAGTGATATCAACTGCAATGTTTTGGGCTTTGCTATTGTCTTCATTAACTGACTTACTAACTAATGATAAATTACTTCCATAAACAAACCTAGAGTAAAGCTCCAAACGATACTTATCCCTTCATCTCTGGCAGACATGTGGAAATAATGATCGAGAAATTATCCAGTTACTTCTTATAGGACTTGCCCTTAATAATAAAAACGGTTATATTTCACAGGCAGATATTGGCCGGGGTGTCGCTATTTCTGGTGTCTTCCACTAAGAGCTTCTGGCCTCTGGTATCGGTGGTGTGGATTCACTCAGTGGGCGTCGCTGCTTTCTGGGCACTCATCAGTACCCTCCTAGCCGACCAGTTTGGCGAAGATTCCCTGGCCACCACCTGGGGCTTCTTCAGGATGACGCAAGGTGTCTTCAGCTTTGTTTATCCCTCACTGCTGGGTGAGAGTCAACATGTGCACACTTGGTTTAATATGTTTTCCTTTGTTGTTCACATCTAGTTTGTTCAGTCTAAATTTTAGATTGGCCTGAGTACCAACCAAACGCAGGGTTTTTGTTACCACCTCGAGTCAGCATTTTTGTTTGGTTAAGATATTGCGTTGAGGTCAATAGCCTGAATCTATCTGCAGGAGAGATTTTGAAACACAACGAACAATATCAAAGTCTAGTAATTGTTCTCGAGGGTTCTGATTCTAAGACATAAATATGTGAGTCAGTTGGATGTCTTTTGGCATCGACAGATAGGGTGTTGAAAGGGAACTTGGGATCGTATTAAGTTAGGGTAGGCTAGGTAGGTTAAGTTAGGTTAGGCTAAGTTAGGTTAGGTTAAGTTAAGTTAAGTTAGGTTAGGTTAAGTCAGGTTAGGTTAGGTTATATTTGCTTAAGTTAGGATAGGTTAGATTAGGTTAGGTTAGGTTTGGTTTGGTTAGGTTTGGTTTTGTTAGGTTAAGTTAATTTAGGTTAGGTTAGGTAATCTTAAGGTGAAATTAACTGGGATGCTATTCTCCATGTGATCCGGAACTTGAGTAATAGTATGTAGGTGAGAATAAAGTGGTGATGTATACGTGTTCTGTACAGGACTGGTGGCTGATGTGGTCGGGTGGATGGGAGCGCCTCTCATCTTCATGGGTTCTATGTACTGCATGGGCGGCCTCGTCTTTGCCCTTCAACCCCTCATTGTCAGGGTCTCGGGCATCAAAGTCAACCAGACCTGACACACCCCTGATCACTAACGCCACACACACACACACAACATCCTTGACCACCGGAGGGTCAAGACCTATCAGGCGCTGCTCCTGCTGCGGCAGCTGCCCCCAGCCAATGTTTGACCCATTCCCCAAGTCCCTCTCCTCGACCCATCCTCACCACAGGGATATCAATTTCGTTTCGGAAAGAAGTGGGAGCAGTGTTGAACAGTGATGAACAGTGCTTAAGCCAGTGAATTCAGCACTAGACAGTGCAAGCAAGAGCCGTGACCCACCAGTGAGATAAGCACCCCTGGGAAAGTACCACCATCTTCTAACTAGGCGGTGTTAATAAGTCCACCCTGGGAATAACAGTGGGTCGGGTTTACACCTGACTATGTGATAACACAACATCACCTAGCAGAGAGTGAGGTACTGTGACACCATCCCACACTGCACGGTGTCTCCATGACCACTTGAGGTCCTTCATATCAACACCTATGGACGAGTTACTGCACCACGTGAGCACCACATCACCCGGTGTCTCCATGACCACTTGAGGTCCTTCATATCAACACCTATGGACGAGTTACTGCACCACGTGAGCACCACATCACCCGGTATCTTCATGACTACGCCAGGTCCTTCATGTCAATACCCGAGGGCGAGTCACTACACCACGTGGCCTACGTGACCTCACACAGTATAGCCAGAGACCAGCCCTGGCCATCAAATGCAAACTATAATAATTTGTATGTTCAATTCATGTTCCTTCTCCTTTTAGTTATGAAATCTGTTGTTAAACGACCCACCCACCCCATGTCTTTGTATGTAATAAGTCATTTTTGTCTGATGTATATTTTCAGTCTTCAGGCTGCTGAACTTTTTCAAAAAACCGTTAATTATTATTACACACACACACACACACACACACACACACACACACACATCTCAACTCTCAAGTGAGACAGGACGTGCGCTCAGTTTTAGCAACCAGTGAGTCTGTTTGGCCTGCCCACTCCTCTACCTACCAGCCTTTACTACACCAGGATCGATTCTTCATGCTCAAAACAGTTAATGGAATTTGATTGATTGCAGGCAGTGTTCCTAGTACTTAAGGAGACTTTCTCGGCAAAAGCTGAGCTAATCATCAACTGTTAATAGTGATTGTCATACAGTGCTCTGATAGGTACTAAGGAAAAAGTCAGACAGTGGGCACTTGTCAATTCTGCTTTAAAGTGCAGTGAACACAGCAGTGTTTACATATATCATGAATACTGTGTCAGCAACCCCAAGCACAAGGACATTGCAGTCCTTGACAACAAATATTGTAGATGTCTACTGTGTAGTGTCCTCTAGTGCATGTAAACCTTTCCGTCCATACACAACAGATCTCAACGGTGGCCTGTTACTTATGACAGTCTGTACTGCATCGTAGAACGGATTATCCTGATGGCAGTGTTATAGCGACTCAAATTGCTAGACATATTCCCGTAGACAAAACCGTCATACACCAAGCCATTGAAACCGTAACCTCACTAGGAAATGACACAAGTTCCTGGGATATGGTACAGTCTCCGTCTTCACTGTATATAATCACTAGCTAACAAAGTTCAGCAAACAGCAGCACAATGATCAGGTCAGCCGCCGCGAGCGTCGTTGCCCTGTGAGCAGCAAATTGTGCCTGAAGCGATAGGGATATCTGACTCTTTCATCACAGCCCGTTTACAAAGGCGGAAGTACGTTGCCTATCTTCTATCTCAAGATGACCTCGCCCGTCACGCCTGGATGTTCAGAATCCCAGCAGATGTGGAAGCAATGTAGGTACAAGCCGTGCTCTAGACACCCATACAACACTAACTTATTATAATCTGTGTGGCATACCATACACTCTGATCACCCTCAAAGACACTCTTATCAATCATCTCATCACCTCAGACACCTCAGGGAGTTTAAGTGCCATGTGCCAAGATTAGTATTATGTAGAGTCCCCAAATGAAAATGACACCACTGATGATATCAGGACAAGCTATCACTATCTAAGTGTGACCTTCCCCACAGTCAAGCCTTGACATATCTTAACGACAGCGGTTCAGTACCAACCACTCAACCAATACACTCTGTCGTTGGCAGCACCTGTGCTCTGGTCTAACTACCCTCACTAATTACAGAGACCTGCATCTCGTTTACAAACCGATTCTCTCTGCAGTGCATAGTGGATGATTCACCTCCTGGACTGAAGTATAGCGTGGATGACATTAAACAAATAGATGATTATATACCTGTGGAAGCTCACTACCCTTCTTCCCGAAGTCCGTCAGATCTCCCCAGCTGACACTGGATCTGTCGGATCAAAGACTTATGCAACAAAGACAGGCCTTTCATCTCGTATCATAGATCTCATAATAACCAGGTCGTCACTTGAAATACGCTGCAAAGTCGCTTCAGCAAATTAACACAAACTTTAAACATCAGTCAATGGTATGATGGCCAAAAATCTGTAGATAAACAATAAGATAGAACTCTGTCAGACCTAAACAATGATACACCTCATATTAGCCATCTCACTAATGTTGACACCTTTGAACAGAACAAATAACCATTTCGCTACTATGAAGCGGCTCTGACTTATTTTAACCTTCTCTTTCATAGCCCCCTTCCCACTGACAGCTTAACAAATTGTTAGCAAAACACTGGACAAACTAAAATTAAACCTCTACCTACAGTGACACCAATGAAACTCTTCAAGAGTTCTCCCGGACCCCTAAACCCTCTGCTCTACCATCATCAGTAACTGTCGTCCATGACCAGATACAATGACAGTGCTCTTATGTATCACCAGTGCCCAGTCAACCAGCCACAATCATCTTCAATCGGCAGGCCTATTGCAATCCTTGTGCAGCCCTAATCTACAGAACATTGGAAACATGCTGATATTGCAGGTCATCAGACCCTCAGCAATTTAACTAACAGAAAACTTCTCCACCACTCATATCTTGTCAGCTTTCTCAATTACATATGCCGCCATCTCGAAGCAAAAACGTCTGTGGCACAATAGCCTTCATTGATTTCACTAAACGTTCGACCTAGTCGTACAATATAATCATCAACAAACTAATGACCTCAAACTGGAAAGTCTTATACATAACACAGACCACCAGTGACATAAGCCTTACTTCGGGCTGTCTCACCTTTCAGTCACTCTGCTGTGGCGTCCCCAAGGCACCAAGATGGGACCTCTGGCCTGCTTATGTAAAGCATTGCTAAGAAGAGGCACTGCTCGCTGAAATATGTCGACGACTCCACCATTGGGATCAAATTCATAATTCTGTCCAACTACCGCACTTAAGTTTATTGAACAGTCTCCCATGCCACCAACAGCCACTGCCATCAACCATACCCAAGACCATGTGGTTGCACATCAACCCTCCTCTCCATTATCCCACCTCCTTCCATTACTCAGTCCAGAACCACCACTCCCAGGACATGGATTCTGGCTCCTCAGCATCCTGCATTCTTTCGCTTCATTGGAAACACACGTCAGTGAAGTTGTCAAATCCTCGGTTTCCGTCTTGCTCACCATAAACTCAAGTCCCACCTCAGGTTCCTGCCCCGAAGCTCCTCAGTGTTTGTATTCATACTTGGCTACTATACCTCCCCCACCTGGTCTTCCTCCTAAATGCCTAGCATAAACACCTAGAAAAAAGTGTAAAGGGCATGCAAGATTATTCCTTCTACTCACTGTATCAGAAGCACTCAACACTGTCACTAAACTCTCACCAATAATACGACTATCTACCCAAATTTGGTAAGAAACTTCTACCATCATTTCAGCCTCCTACTACCTGAGATCCATGTCCAAGAATTACTGTTCATTTTAACACATCCAGCCCATGCATTGCAGAACCCAAAATCCCTTCTCAAAACAATTAAGTCCCCAACCATTGTAAAAATTATCAATAACGCCAATAAATCAGTGTCAATAAACCGTTATTATTATTATTATTATTATTACATCAACACAAACACACACACACACACACCAACACAAACACACACACACACACATATAACACACAAACCAACACACACCAACACACACACACACACCAACACACACACACATACCAACACACAACACACTGCACACCAACACACACCAACACACACACACACACACACACACACACACACACAACACCAACACACACCAACACACACCAACACACACCAACACACACCAACACACACACACACACACACACACACACACACACACACACACACACACACACACAACACACACACACACACACACACACACACACACACACACACACACACACACACACACACACACACACACACACTCATGAGTCTGATCATATTAGATATTAGTTTTAGTCATTAATTTGTCGTATAATAAAGGTAAGTTACCAAAATGCAAAAATACTGAATAAAACATAAGTTATCTGATGACTAGTTGGATATAATAAATTGTGCGGCTTTTCTCCTTAAGAATGTAATCAAATGGACATGAAGTTAAAATAGGTCCCTTATTTTTTGAGGAACATTGAATTAGAATTTTTGAAAAGTTTATCAAGAAGTAACCAGACAGTTATTGTATAGCACCTATAGATAAACTTCATAGCATGTTCCTTTACTTGAGATGCACTAATTATACTTTGAAAAGATAATTCAAACAACTCTTTAAAGCATTCGAGACCTGCACTGTAAAACACATCTACTCTCACTAGCTACAGAAAGTCCAAGAAACACAGAAAAACTTTAGAAAATGCGAAAAAATGCAACCAATCGTCTTGAAATTGTATCCAGGTCATATTGTCTCTGTTCTTTGATAATTACGATTTGCATAAGGCTGCCGTTTAACACGAGAGAGGCGGACATATTATTAACAGATGGACGGTCAGGTGCAAATCAATATGTGGTGAAGACATAATTACTCTACATTTAAATTGTCTGCTTCAAAGAACATTCGATTTGTTTTTTTAAGTGTAAAGATAAAAGTCCAGTTCTTCATGTTTATATATGTAATTGTTAATTTACAAAGATAAACATAAAGGAAGTACAGTCACTCAAAAAAAATCAATAGGAAACTGTGTTGAAAAATATGACACAACGGACGATGGATTTTGACAGTCCTACCGAGACAGATGGGGTCGTAGTGTTCATTTTGAAATTCATCGACCCCCCCAAGTAGAGATAGTTTTTTGAGTGACTGTACATTAAGGAAAAGTAAGCAAATCCATGAACTCTCCAACCAGTGAACCTTCAGAGAAAAAAATTAAAACAAAGGCACCCATGAAGCCTCTAGGAGAACTAACATTAACTAACTACGACACAGTGTTGGAAGAGAGACATGAAGGAACACCCCAACAAATTTCAAGAGCACTGAGCCAGTAGGTTTTAAGAAAGAGCCGTCAATGTGAGAAGTGTACTGAGTATGGACGATAAAGGACAGGTGATGATATCAATGAGTAACTACCAGGCATGACAGTGTT